TCGAGGACGGGGCGGCATGGTTCATGAGGAAATGGCACAGACAGGAGGTGGAAGCGTCCGCGAAGCGCCAGCGCGCGAGGGAAGCTGAAGCAGAGAGTACGGTCTCAGGACCGAACATAAAGTGAGCCGGGGAAGCGGTGGTAGGGGGGAAGAATNAGGAGAGGACCTCGTGGCCTTCAACATGGGAGACGAAAAGGAAGGGGGTAAATGGAAAGAGAGCGCCAAGGACCCGGAGGTGTGGTACAACAAGGTCGAGGACGGGGCGGCATGGTTCATGAGGAAATGGCACAGACAGGAGGTGGAAGCGTCCGCGAAGCGCCAGCGCGCGAGGGAAGCTGAAGCAGAGAGTACGGTCTCAGGACCGAACATAAAGTGAGCCGGGGAAGCGGTGGTAGGGGGGAAGAATCGGTGACCGGGCACTGCTGTAGAAGCGAGTAGGGCGGCCGAGGCAGCACTTGTGGCGAACTATGTAGTACCCGGCTGATGCCGTTGCGCCCTGTTTCCCTCCCTGCTGTATTCTTTTCTCCTTTATGTATGTCCTTTGTATTGCCTTCGGCCTCTGTGCTGTGTTTCTGTGTTCTTTTGTTCATGACCTCCCTGTCTACTCCGCTGTGTTGGGTACCGTGATCTCGCCTTGCTGTTGCCTTTGTTTTTGTACGTCTGGCTGTCTGCCCATCTGCCGCCTCGTTGTCCTGTTTGCTCCGTTACTCCCATGCCCTGGTGCGTAGTGCCTGGTGCTGGTAGGTTACCCTTTGGTTTTTTCTTTGGGCGGGTGTGGGAAGCATCCTCCTTTGTTTTGTTATTGTTTTATTTTGATCGGTTTCCGAGGGCTCTTTTCTCGAACGGTCGGTGCGATACCTGTTCTTTTCTTTCTATCATTTTGTTTTCTTGTTCCGAGTAGTTTGTACCCTTTTTTTGTTTTGTTTCCCCACGGCGTCGTATGTGCCGGGTTTTGAAACCACGGGCTCCCCATTTATTGTGGACTATAGAGCTAATGTGAGAAACAACAACAACAACCACACCCCCCCGGAAGGTTTTTCAAGTCTTTGAACCCGACGTACTCGGTGTGATGTGTCCGATTGCAGTGTGGATTTCTCTCTAGAAGTACAACATATACTACATTACAATCAAAGACTTGACAGGCTACAAGCACCCGGTCGCCCCGGTGGTCTAGTGGGTACCCTCGCAGCCTGCTAAGGGCCAGATCATAGGTTCGAGTCCCAGCAGCGTGAGTTTCTTCTCACTAGAGTAAATGTACCCAAGAGTCACTTAAGGCCACCCTCCGCTCAAACAGCTCGTTCTTGACTATTAGGACGAATATCATTGATGTCGAGGTATCGTACGATAGCTAACATCACAGACTACCTCCCAAAGAAAAAACAAAAATCGTAAGTGCTGGGAAGATATGGCTCCTGTAATACCCCTAATTTTTCCGGGATAATACGGTGGAAAACACCCCCGCCCCCGTGATGAGTCACTTTAAAGATGTGGTGATTGCGCGAGAACTAAAGCGTTTCAAGACCTGATTTTTTTCGGACACGCTCGTTCTTGAACTCATGTCCATGCAGAAAAAAAATATTGGGATCGATCCAGCCAGGGGCCACGAACGTCGCATCCCCGGGGTCCCACCATATTTCTCGGGGCCGAAATAACCCTGTATTGACCGCACATCGGGTGCTGTGAACTTGAGGAGAGCCAAACCTTTGTACTACGAGTTTCATGCATGATGGGCCGCATCTATGAGCTGCTGCCGACCGAACTCAGAAAGTGTCGAGAAGTGTAGATCAACGCATCTTCCACCGCATCTTCTTCCGCCTTGCTCAGCACAGTCTCGGGGTCAACCCTCGCATCCATGGCCATAGCACCGCTCAAACGTCGCGAGAGCGCGCCCTTGTTCACCCCGTAGGCCTTGCGTGGCAGCAGCCCTGAGAGACAACTGACCACTGCGGACCGCATCGCAAGCCTTCTGCGCCTGTTGTGGGTCTACTCTTGCCCGGCCCATGCTCGCAATGATTAGCAACAGACCCGCCACAGGGATGAAAATGATNCAACCCTCGCATCCATGGCCATAGCACCGCTCAAACGTCGCGAGAGCGCGCCCTTGTTCACCCCGTAGGCCTTGCGTGGCAGCAGCCCTGAGAGACAACTGACCACTGCGGACCGCATCGCAAGCCTTCTGCGCCTGTTGTGGGTCTACTCTTGCCCGGCCCATGCTCGCAATGATTAGCAACAGACCCGCCACAGGGATGAAAATGATCCGCATCACGGGTGTGGGAGGGCGTGTTGCTGTATCTCGTGGGTGCGTGACCCGATCGGGACGCTGAAGAAGTGCTCAAACGAAAGCTAACGGAACTCTGGAAAATTTGAAAAACAAGTCAGGCGTCCCCGCGGATTGTGCGCGGAGATATGTGCACTTAAAAAGATGTGTCTCAATTGCGGGTGTCTCTTAATTGGTACATTTAAAAAAAAAAATCCTGGTCTAGGATGAAAGCGACGCGCTGCAAAGCTCGTTGTTAGTAAACCATAATCGACTTCGTAGGTTGCGAGGGAAGGGATTGCTGTACCCTTCTCGCGATAAAAATATCTCAGGCAGGAACCGCAGGAGGGGGTCCAACCCCCCCCTCCTGTGTGACCCCGGTTGGGTCGTCTAGCTAGTAGAAGTGGAGGATAGGCGCCAGAGGGGCAGACGACTGAGTCCAGTAATGGGCGACAAAAAAAAAAAAGGCGTTCGAGATACAGCCGCAATGTCGAAGTGGGATTAAATATGCGTTTTTTCCCAGAGGCTGTCAAAGGCCCTGCAAGGTTGCTTTTGGTAGGGTATGGTAAACTCGGGTAGGGTATCGGAGCTCGGGTACTCTACCCTAGGAGGGTAGGGTATCGAGGGTGGTACAAAACATACCCGTAGGGTAGAGTGTACCCGACAATGAACCCTACCCGCCCCGGTAGGGTACAAAAATCCGTACTTTTACCAGGTGCGGGTAGGGTCTTGAAAGTCATACAAACCCTACCCGAGGGGTAGGGTAGGGTAGGAAAGTCCTACCAAAGCTACTCGAGAGCGGAATACCCGCGGGTACCGGGTAAATACCCGAGGGTAGGCTCGGGTACATACCCTACGAAAAGGCTGTACCAAAAAACAAACATGCTACTTATGTAGACTAGACTACTGGAATGCTGTTCACGTGCGTTGTAGTCCTGTCTACATGTATGTAGGCCACTTTTATGGGGGGGCGGGTAGACGTGCCGCGGTTGGCATGGACTGTAGATGTCCACCCCGCCTCACCGTGTTGTGAAAGGTCGATTGCGGTACATGTAGAACCTCCGTCGCACCCTGCCCCCCACCTCCAAGTGCCTGCAACCCCGTGCTTGGGATGGATGGGTGGATACATATGGTTAGCAGGGAGTCACACTCGTTCCTAGTCCCGTGGTCAAGAACATTTTGCGTTGGAGAGCGAGAACAAGACTAATTGCACCTACCTACAGATATTATCCCCCACAGTAGGCTTTAGGGTGTCGGGGTGTATTCTTGTCGGACAGTGCGGCCCACTCACTGCAAGATGCGAACGGAGACAGACGTGCGCAACACACGACATTGTATATATCTTGGCTTGCGGACCTTCCGGGTCGATTGTAGTTGAAGCTTTTTACCCTTCTCGTAGGTACGTTCGCATAAAACCTTTTCATAGTGGTGCCACGTCGATGGGGTCGCTAAATCGCACATCCCTCAGGGAAGGCATTGCTTGTGTGTGGCTTTCTTTTAATTTAACCCTACTGCCAATCAACGCACGGCCAGGTACTACATAACTACCAAGGAACCCCAGCACCGTCTACAAACCCGCTCCCGTGTGCATGAGACGCGAAGCGGGAGGCTATCAAGTGATATCTCGTGATATCAACTAGTCCAATCGTTGCTGCTATAATGTACATCGTCGCGTGCGTACTCTGAGGTCGGGGTGGTTCAGCGTGCGGCTGTATTTTTCTTTCCCCCCCAGATACTGTTTCAGGAAGTGGAAGCACCAGAAAATAAATTAAGTCATGCGCAGCTGTCATCCGTACGCAGAGAAGTAGGCACAAATGCCGAAAACCCTTGGCAGGATGCAGCGCACCCTTCATTTGACTCGCCGAATACCTCACGGCGTTTCGCGTTTGGTGATGTGAGAGCCTGGTCTGGTGAGAACCCGGCGTGCTCCGTCCCAGCTTTGTAGGGATGCGAGGTCAATGTGCGGCTGTATTTTTCTTTCCCCCCCAGATACTGTTTCAGGAAGTGAAAGCACCAGAAAATAAATTAAGTCATGCGCAGCTGTCATCCGTACGCAAGGAAGTAGGCACAGATGCCGAAAACCCTTAGCAGGATGCAGCGCACCCTTCATTTGACTGGCCGAATACCTCACGGCGTTTCGCGCTTGGTGATGTGAGAGCCTTGGTCTGGTGAGAACCCGGCGTGCTCCGTCCCGGCTTTGTAGGGATGCGAGGTCAATGGTCTAACGACTACGGCATGCACGACTATGAGTACCCCCCCCCCGATACTGGCGCAGTTTTCACCAGGTGAACAATTTCACAACATCACACTCTCAAGGAGGCATGGGAACGTTGCACTTGTAGTGTGTTCGACAAACGTGCAAGATGTCAAGCTATGCCAGGAAAGGGAGATGGATGGTCTCTAATTATTATTGTTCATGTTCTTCGTCAGGAAGCAAGATCTCACACCGTCTCGACACACTCTACCTGCACTCCATGCACATGAATCCAACGAGGCTATATGTGTACCCCAAGTACCTCAACGACACATCCACTTGTTCTTGATACGATGTACGATCATCTCGAATCAGCCATAATTAGAAAAGGAACGCTCAATGCACGACCAATAACCTGTGCAATACATCACAGTGCAGTCACGCCCCAATGAAACTGCGAACACTGCCAAGCTCGTGGCGCACCACGGCGCCTTTTGTCGCGTTCGTACGCTTTCAAAAACAACAAAACTTCGCCCGAAGTGCCAGCAGGTGATATGCACCACGCGCCAGAGTGCTAGCTAGGAAAATATCAACTGCTGGCCCCAAAAGTCCCTCCTCCATCACGAACACATCGGCGCACGCGCCCAATGTGGTACATAAATCTTCCTCTGAAAACCGCATCAAAGAGGTTCAGGCGCTCCAGACCTGCTTCTATCTAGACGAGCTATCGCAAATCCGGCATCATCAAAAACGAATCAAGATATTTACGAGATTCGAGGTACTTCCCTTGTGCCTACTGCCCGCCCGCTGGCCATTCCTAATCGACCAGGTGCTTGCTGTGCGTGAGTGAACGCCTGTGGAATTGAGACCGCGGCACACACGAACAAAAAGAAAAGTGGAATGGGAAATCGGGGAGAGGGGGTGCTCAGTTTTAGGTCGAATGCCCAGTATCAGCATCGCGGTCGGTCACCAACAGATCTAAGCAGGCTTCCTTAGATGTTTTCTTAAATATTGCGAGGAGTGCAAGCTCTGGCGGGGAGATACACGAGAAAAATTGGATACAGCAGTTGTGTCCACCGATAGCTGCTTTAGGCATTCTCACCCGGGCATAACGGATGTTCAAAGGCATGGTTCGAGGCTCGAGTTAAATTTTTGTACCACGTTCTCAAGTGCGGAAGCTACCTGCACACCCAAGGCAGCGACAGCGGCCGACAACGGAAGCAATTGCACACACTCAAAGCACAAATGCGGGCCGTAACAAGAAAGAAAATGATGTTGCTGGATCGATACAAAAGGGCACGACATATCCACGCCTACACTAGAAACTCACGTCTGTCTGCGTCTTCATCTCCGGAGGCATCTTAGTGCTGGGCCTGCGCGGCAGCGGAATGGCGTTGCCGTCGGGCCGGTTGGGTTAGTGTGGAGCTATCGGGCGTTAGGGCAAAGACTCACGAGAACGACCTCGCCACACACGACCGCAGCAGGAGGCGAGCTAATATGAAGGGTCAGGTGTCGGTGTGGTCGACCACCTCACTCCAGCTACCACAACTACAAAATGTAACAACGAAAGAGATGGATCTTTTGTGTCGCAAGAATTGGTTATGACATCGCTCTCTTAAATCTATCTCATCCTCAACTTGTATCGGGAAGAGACACTCGCGTGACAATACGAAAAATGCAGAAGAAAAAGTCAACACGGGAGGACTACTCAGACCTCCTTCTAGTACGGCCCTTCTACAATACTCACGGGCTTGAGCCCCGGGGGCGCCTTGGGCATCGCGGACGAGTGGTGCTCGATCATCACCCACTTGCCGTTCTCCCTTCGGTACGCGAACGTGAAGCGCGCCCGCGTCTCGGTCATGGCCCCGTCCGCTCCCGCCCAGGCGAAGGTGTAGGCGCCGGCGTGGATGGCGAAGTCCCCGTGGATGCGCGGGGGCGCCGGGTCGTACGCGACCATGGAGAGCTTGGGCATGCGGGCAAAGAAGTCCTGTGTGGAGGTAAAATAAGCGGGCAGAGGTGCGTAGTCGAGAGTATGGTTCACAGTCTTGGGCGGGTGTTCCAAGCTTGGAAAATGACGTGGGTGATGCAAAAAATTAATGCGTGCCCGAGGATGCTGTCGAAGGTCAAGGCTAATCGACGCCACGAGGCTGCATCACGTGCCGAGGACAACTACAGGCCGTAAAACACGCAAATTGCACCTCACGCGATGGTTATCGGCCACCATGCTGCACGAAGGACAACCACAGAGAACACAATCGCACATTCCGTACGCGATGGTTGTTCCTACCTGCTACTGCTGTAAAAATCCCAACTTTCATCTCAAGAGTTGTACTTACGAAGTAGTCGTAGACGTGCGCGGGCGTGTTGCGGACTTCCTCCGAGACCGTTCCCCAGAACAGCGCGTCGTCAGCGTAGATGGCGGCGGTCTTCTTGGGGGCGTCCTCGGTGTTGGAGGTCACCGTGTCCCTCCAGTGCCTAGTCGCGGCGTCCACGGCCTTCTGGTCTGTTCACCCGACACAGCAACAATATGCAGACACAGGCGCATGTGAGATGAACGTTCACATTGATCGCTCGACACGCAGCTGGAGAGAGATACAGCGCATACGGTACGAGCCTTCATATCAGACCAGCCGACAAGCAACAAGCTACCGGTGGACATCTATACGAAATCAACTACTTACACAGATGTTTCCGCCTTTTTCGTATGTATCCTGGGGCTTTGTGTTAACACTTACTCCAGGATGAAGACAACATGGCAAATTTAATCATGCGTTTTCGAAACTCCTGTTCACCAGACGGTTACAACTCCGCCGTTTTCAGCACCGTCACTAGCTTTGCGAAGCGACGAGTTTACAAAATCGCTCCACGGGATGTCTACATGGGCTTCCGTAACAAGGAAGCAGTGTGCTAGAATACACTACATCGAAGCGGAGGAAAGCACACAGAAGGCGACCGCCAAATATTTGAAATGGTCGATCCGATTTGCTTCGGTGGTTTGGTGGCTGAAAAGATCCAGAAAGGGCGACAGGGAAGAACCAAAGGAAAAGACAAATCCAACGAACACAGAGCGGCAAACGACGCCTGCGGCGAGAACACACCATCTTCACAGCAGCATCGGCAGAATGCATGGTTTATGAGGCAGCAACCATAGGGTATCGGTTGACTCACCAGCGGTGTAGTTGGCCGCGTAGTCGGCCTGAGCAGGTCCGTCGGCGTCAAGTCCCGTGATCGCCAGCGCGTCGGGCACAATATTTCACCACGTTCAGGGAAAAAGAGCGAGCGCGTTCGGGAGGTTAACTTACCAGTTTGCCGCACTCCCATGGCTAGATTGCATTGCTAAGCAGCGCGCTAAATTACCAATTCCAGTTCAGTTGAACACAAAGCTCTCAAGAGCTTTGAGGACGGCAACCGCCAGGGCGGCCGCGGAAACGAAAGACAATATTCTGCAAGTTTCGATGGTGCATGACTTGCTTTGAAGTGCGGCTGTACGCGTGCGATAAACAGTATCACCTGCCTGTGCCGGCATGTGACAGGGATATAAAACAAACGTTGAGAAAAATGCAAGGCACGTTGGACGCGAGCACATCATGATGCAACACCGAAGGACAAGAGACAAATAACAAAAAAAGTGATACGAAGAGGCCCGAGAGACAAACCACTGCTTCCAACGAAACCTTCATGGATGTGCTGCATGTTTGAGTGGCGAACGGAGAGGTGGGTAAAGTGACGAGCTTCTCGGTGAAGGGGATTCAAACAAACTGTAGGGTTGCGCGGGGGGTATTGGAAAACATGGCAAGGCATATTGGCGCGCGCACACTGTCATGGTACACGACAAAAGATGAAAACCATGCGCACACTTTTCGTGAGCCCCGAAATAGCGAGAATACGGCTTCACCAACAAGAACGTGATCATGTTCATGTGGCGGAAGTGGGCGATCGAGGTGTTCAGTTTTGAACCTGTAGATGAAAACGATCCTCATAGACTGCAGGGTTATGCTTCGTGTGTTGGGGTATTCCAAGTGTCAGTGGTGACGAGTTCATGCTTGCGCGCAACACCCGGCACGACCACGGAGCAACATCAGGCCAACGGTCGCGAGATGACAGGTCAAATGCGCCGCCGGTGAGGGTTGTACGTGAGCGGTTCCTGCATTTTGATGCTGACATGGTACTGTCGAGTCTGAAACGGATCACTTTTGGACCTGTAGATGAAAACGATCCTCATAGGCTACAGGGTTATGCTACGTGTGTTGGGGAATCTCCAGTATCGATGGTGTCGACTTCATGCTTGCTCAACACCCCGCACGACCACGGAGCAACATCAGGCCAATGGGCGCGAAATGACAAGTCAAATGCGCCGCCGATGAGGGTTGTACGTTCCTGCATTTGACGCTGACATGGTACGGTCGAGTCTGAAACGTGTGCGCGCATCTTCTAGTAGAGTCGAACGAAGCGTGGGTGAGCCTTGACAGTTCACTATCCATCAACTGTAGCCGAAGAACGCGTGTGACTAGTGTGACACGACGGAACACGAGTCCCTTGATCAACACACCGCATTTCCTACATACGCACGACACGGAGAATCAAACACACAAGGTATCTTGCCCATCCAGACACGCCGCCACAGCAGTTGGCGCATATCACCTTACCTGTCCAGACATGTGCCTGACCGGGAGCTTCGCGATGGCAAGCCTGGTCGCCGCCTGGGTGACCGTGAGGCCCGACCTCGTCGACAGCAGGGCGTTCATCGAGCCAGCTCGGACGCTGCTCTGGATGCTGGCCTCGCTCTTGCCGACGACCCTTGCCAGCCTGGATGCAGTTCTTCCGGCGGGCATCTTTCCAATGTTCATCATGATGTCCTTTCGTCGGACGGTGGGAGATTGGTGGAGTGGTGTTGCTGACGGGGGTGGGTGCGTGTCGTTGCGAGCTGTGGGGGCGGGGGGAACGAAGGCACATGACACGTGCGACAGCAGTGACCACCAATCACGCCGCATTTTTTTTTCCATTTTTTGACGGGCGCCGTCGGATAAGACACAACGAATCCAGCTCTATATCCACCCAATCACCTACTGCTGTCGACCTCCACGATTTGCTACGGAGTATATCGATGAACGCCTCATGGTCATGAGGTTTCAGATGACAGGTCACCGCGGAGCGGTCAGCTTCGCTGCTGCGTAATCCCCAACCGAGATCTCCACCGACGACAGCAAGGGAGAATTCTGCTAAAAACTTGACATTATTCTCGTGCGGAGGATTCCGTCCAAGGGAGCGTGTGTGTCTATCGTCTATCGTCTATCCTGATGGACACCAACGCGCGGACGGGAGAGAG